TATATTGTAATAAAGGTAATGTCTCTAACAATGGGTGGCTGTTCCATTCGGTGGTGTGGGAAAAACAGCAAAATATCTAATAACAAAACGGAATCACATTTCATCGGTGTGTAAATATGTAATTTTTCAATTTTCGTCCATTATAGCAAAGCTCAATTTCAACATTCGCGATTTGAAGTAATGATTTCGCAGAATAGTTTTCAAACAAATTAAATGACATTTCGTATCTACTTCTGGTTATATATTCGATGTGTCGAGTGGAATCACAGTAACCGCTTCACTCAGTGTATGATTCCTTTTTCACCAACAGATTGTAGAAATTCCATACGACTCCAAAGACAGTAGATTATTCCTTCAATTAAAAACCGCGCAGACTTCTCGGGATCAACATATAAAATTAGCTAAAGAAGCTTGCGTGAAAGGGTCACGTGCTATAGGTAAGTCAAACATTTATTAAGACCATAGAAAAAAAATTTTTGAAAGTGATGTAGAGTTTTTAGGTTTTCGCAATCGTTACACATAGGAAATGAAACATTTTTATTTGGTTTGTTTGTAAAATAATTTAAAAAAAGAATTAGTGTCATTTCTGATTGGGATAGTGTATGAGTAAAAAATTAAGGGTACTGAAGTGATGGTAAGATGGTCAGTGAACGTGCGTCCTCCCCTCTTCCACCCCCATACAGATAGGATTCTGGATAGAATGCAATTTTATTTACATTGATTTGAACTTTCATAATTTTCACACATTATTTGAATGTAATATCGGGACTTAATCATGTATTAATATAATATTTCATTTACCTCGACTCGACATTGTTGTTTTAACTGCTTCCGCGGCCGAACGGTTACCATGCTGGACTGCCACGCAGAGGTCTCGGGTTTGAGCCCCGAGAAATATTTGTGTGGTCTACATTTATTTCTCTCGTGAGTTTGGGTGTACTTTGTGGTTGTCTATTTGTGTGTCCATGGCACCCGCGATGCACGGTTTCCATAGTGAAACCCTGAAAATTATTATGGTCTGGAGGGAACTCCCTTCCGACATTGCAACAACACGTTCGAAACGTCGAGGTAAATAAAATGTTCACATTTATAGATTAATTCCCTATATTAAATTCAAATAATGCAATTTTGTTTATTAGGTATATTTCTAGGGTATTTCTGACTGTTCGATACTTTTATTATATAGTGACGGTTGTTGTTGATTTTCAGAGACACTCGACCGCATGATAACGCAAGGCACACTGAAAGCACCTCCTGAGAACTTGGCCATCACAAAGCGTTACATCAAACAATTCCGAGAGGACCTTAATGCAGCCTCCGAAGCCCTCAGGATCGAACTAGAGAAGGGAGACGTCTCTGAAAAGTTTTGGAGCAAGGTCAGTCAGTAGCTATAAGAAATAACAATAAGGGGAACCCATTTCCTCCAATTAGAGATCGCAGACAACCATAGAGATCACATTATCTGATTAGTAGTGACCAGGCAAATTACGCGGCTGATTTTCGGTAGGTGTAGCTAGGTTAAAGGTCAGTGGCGGCTCTAAAATAACGTAGTAATGTGTCAGACATCTGCAACAATTATCTGGTCTAATGCTAGGGGATTCCCTGTACTATGAGTACCATTTGGCTTCCGAGGTCGTAATAATGCGCTATGGAAATGCAGTAATTACAGTTAATTTTATATGTATGGTCTGTACCAATCCCATTGCATACAAAAAGTAAACAAAACAGTTTGATTAAAATTCTAAATAATAATAATAAACCAGTTATTTCAGGCCATTGTCCATAAGATAATGGTGTTAGAAAACCTTAGAAGTATGTTAGTATGATTACAATACATTTTGAAAATTTGATTGAAAAATTTAAAATATTTAACTTCATAAATTAAAATATTAAAATTAAGAAAATTCACAAATTATTACTTTATTTGACCAGTAGCGATCTTAATCCAAAACTTTAAAATTGTACAGTCAAACGATGGGCAAACATCTTCAGGATGCCATTGCCACACTCACGTGCGTGAGTGTGCTCTCTTTAGCAGAGACGACTCCTTTTTTCGCATAATGGCATAAAAGTCATCTGTTCGCGATTCGCCAACCATGCCTGACGCACTGCAGTGCCGTGGTAGTCACAACAGCATCCTAAAGATGTTATTGTACTGTACTCTTATTGAGCTGTATGTACAACTAAAACAATCACTCAATTAATCGAATAAGTAACACTTTTACGTATATTTCCAAGATTTCGACTTGATATCTCATGACTTTTTTCAACAATATTCATTTGAATAACATCGTAAAATCGTATTAAAAAATTCTAGTCGAAAAGTGAGGTTATTTTTTCAAATATAAAGTATGATTAGTCTATGGTTGTATAGTACTGTACGTAAAAAAATACTCAAAGTATATAAATAATTAAAGTTTTTGTAATCGATTAATAAAGCGAAAATTGCAATCGCAATCGAACGGGTATCTAAATGTAAGGATGTGAAAAATTTAGATTTCGGAACTATTGAAAGGATCATTTACAATAGAATTACGTATAATGTTCTATTTCTCTTCCTGCTTACACTATGCTCGACGGTTTACACATAAAATATTAGTAACGTAACGCACAAGTAAACGACTTTTTTGATGTAAGGGGACATGCTATATTTTAAACCACTGGGCATTCCTAAATTTTAATAATACCAATCGATAGAGCAGGAATTTCCGAATCCAATGATATATGCAACTCATGTTCGACAAAATGTCCTTTATGTTAATTGATACTTCTGGTATCGATATGTTGACTAACTAAGCAACATCCGTCCACGCGCATAAACGTTCGTTTACTGACAGTGCATTTCACCCCGCCCTATACAATAGCGGCAGAGCGCGTCGTGTCGGGGGTAGACAAGATTTTTTTTGTCCGGCGCCGAGGCAGTGTACACAGTTCGTGTGTAGAAACGACACGAATTTTTAATATACCACTTTTCTTAGCGCGGACACGCGCGCTCACACTATTTACACCTCCCTAAGGTAGATTAAGGGTCCCTGGAAGTTAATAGTGTAACAGACGTTAAAGTCCTAATTTGGAAAATTTTGAAACTTGTAGATTAACAAATCATCCTATGTGACAGGTGGAAGACGCCCGAAGTGCGTATAAGGAAGAACTACAGAGTTTATTCCCCGGCATAGATCTCACCGCGAACAAGCTCAAGGCTGGCGGTGATTTGGATATGCTGCTCGTCTATACCCTAAAACAGGTACTATGTCATATTTACTTTTATTGAATATATATTTTTACTCATACATTCTTATATTTTATTGTGAAAGGCCTCCATTAATTTGTTGTTGAAAAGTTTTTTCAATCCGACTGGACATGAACCAGTGTCTGTTGCCTCACCGTGGCGACAGCTCTTATGTCTTCCATTCATCTCTACGACCCGTCCACTTTTTTTTAATGATAATTTATTCATTTATTTTTGTTACAAAATTGATAACTTCGATAACATATAAAAATAATACTCATGTGTAAGGGTATGTTTACATCCGTGATTCCCAAATTGATATACGACCCCCAGGGGTTCACTTCAATCTGCAAGGGGTCCATATCACCGAAAAAATTGCGGATACATGAGATGTGTGACGTGACCCATTTGTGCAGATTGTGATCAAAATTATGGCTTTTCGTAATATATGGAATATGATTAGTACCTATATACAAATGTAGTACCTTATTGTAATAGACATATAAATTAGATAACTGTATAAAAATTAACATGTGTTTGTTAAAGTTTCTCATTACACAATTAAACTTATCAAAGTGAGCTGTGAGCTGTCAAATATACATTTACTCGTGAGTTTGGGGGTAATTTGTGGTCTATGTATGTGTCCATGGCACCCGTGACTCAGGGTTTCCCTAGTGCGGGGCTATGTTGAGTGTGTACGTTATATGTCACTTATGTACCTTTAAGGCGAGTCCCTTTAAGTGTAAAGGTACTCGCCGATTGTTTCCCAGGGTGCACCTGATGAACAGGAAAGTAATCTTTTTTTCGTGCGACTGTTCTGGTTAAAATGTATATAAATACAAAAATATTTCGACAGTGTCAAAATAAGAATAAAGAAGGCAATAACGCAATTAGTAATCATTAGAATATATTTAATATAATCATTATTTTTGGCATAAATTTACCTTCTTTCACAATTTATCGATAGAACAGTCGACAACTGCTACATGACTATTTACAATTTTTTTGAAAACTGGCAGCTCTGCAAGTGTTGTTCTCCGTTTTCAAAAAAGGCTAACTGTATGGTAGTGTGCTATATTTACAAAAATATACACGTTAGACCGTAGACACAAGGAGGATTGTACACGTTTTCTCTTTCGTAGCGTGCAGCTAGAAAATCAAAATAACAATTGTAGATAATAAGTGTTCACGTAAAATGTTCTCTACGTATGACGCAGTTACATTGTCTTGTTTTTAGGTACAATTCCTGCAAAATGAGTTAGTACGATTGTCAACGGTTGCCGAGCAAAAAATTGCAAGGGCTGTCGAATGTAAGTACCTATTTGTTTTACCAAGAACGTTATCACTAGGGCTCGGATAAATATGCAGTATAAACTGCAAAATATGTACATATAATATAAATTTAAAAATAAAAATAAAAATTATAATAATAAATCTTAAATATCGAGATAAAACACAACTGCTTTCACACAGACTAAGCATTATAAAAAAAGAATCAATAAATTATATTCCACTTCAATCAACAAATTATATTCCAATTCAATCTAAGTTTCGTTACTGTTGTTGTTACAATACACAATTACATGTTTTTTTTAAATTTTCGAAACTAAAATTCTGCTGCTTAGTCGGAATAACGCTTTGTACTGGCTAATAATGACTGACCATGATCAATGAATGACTTTCGACGTCACAGGATGTGACTGTAGCAAACTTACATTTGCACAAGTCCACAAGTGAATAGGTGAATCTTCCGCACAGTACACTGTTACTTTTTTAGTGTATTAAAACTTTTTATTCAAGCACGTATGAAACTTTTTTTTTTATTAAATAAAATATCACGTCATATTGAAAATATGGATTATTCCAAGTTTCGTGTAGATATATGGTATAAATATGGAAAAATAAGGAAAATAAAAGTAGTTTTTTTTATTCTAAATGACTTTATTTATGTAGAAAATAAATTGAAGAGCATTAATTATTGAAATCAAAAATATGTAATTACATATTAATCAGGGCCCTAGTTATCACCAAATTTGTTTTCTTACCGTATTAGTATAAAAAGACAAGTAGCCTAACTCCAATGATGATTTGAGTATCACATTGGTATATCAAATGTCGACATTGTCCCTGGTATTTTAATGTTTTTTTTTAGTCTCTCTAGTAGTAGTTAACCTGGATTCGGTTCCTGGTGGTATATATTTAGAAAACGCACGTTTTTAAACTGGTTCTGTAGGGCTAGCACGATAAGACGGGACTTGCGTGAGAGCGACATAAAGTGCGAGATCTCTATGCGTTAATAACAGTATCTTGCGCTTTATGTCGCTCTCGCGCTAGTCGCGCCCCATCGTGCTAGCCCTACTGGTGGGTATGGTCTGGGTACTGCCACTGGATTTGGTACTTGAAAACTTGAACTTGAAACTCCCCGAGTTTCCTAGTTTGGGACCAGGTACTTGGTGTCATTGTCGGATTTATTTATGTATTTTTTAAAATGTAATATTAACTTTATTGAATATCACGAAGTTTTAATTCCATGATATTCAATTATTTTTGTGAAATTAAAATTGACATTTGTCGCAACGCTACAACACATAGATACAGAAAAAATATTGTTAAGAATTAGACAAGCAAAACAAAATGAAAAGAATTAATAAACAAAATAAAAAATACAAAAAAAAGCATAAGATAAAACAGACAAAAAGCAAAAAACAAATTTTGTACTGCGATTTGTGCGGTTGCGTCGTACGCAAAAGGACTTCATTCAGCATTCAGCATAAGCCACAGCCATACTTGACTGGCGCTGGTTTTCAACGAGTGTGTGTCTCTAATTACTCCAATAATGTGTTATTATTGTTAACACAAAGAAAAATTCCTTCGATCCGGCTGGACTCGAACCAACGACTACCTCCGTGACCGAACGGTCACCATGCCGGACTGCCACGCAGAGGTCCCAGGTTCGATTCCCGGGCCGGGAGAAATATTTGTATGGCCTACATTTATTTATCTCGTGAGTTTGGATGTAATTTGTGGTTGTCTATGTGTGTGTCCATGGTGCCCATGTTTCCTTAGTGCGGGGCTATGTCGAGTGTGTGCGTTATTATTATTATTAACGACCTCGCCGTACCGTGGCTGATTATTTACTATGTATTTTTCAGGTAATGACGATAAGCTAATAATTGAAGCCAAGGCCGAGCAGCTGGCGAGGGAAGAAAGAATAAAAATGGAATTTGAGTACTTAAAGAAGGTAATATAGGAAGGAATCAAATCATCGTTCTTCAAAATAAAAGATACTAAAACGTTGTCTAATAATATATTCAGAAATAGTCTTAGTGTATGGCTTTAAAGGACAAAAATTCTTACAAAATGACTGATTTCTTAAATAAAAGTACGTCATAAATTTACACTATCATTGATAATTATTATTTTGTTGGTGTTAATTGAATAATTATTATTTGAAACTTTAAACAAATTTGTGCATGTCTATTGATACAATTATAAGTAAAATTTTGCATGCCTTATTTGGTTAAAATAAGTGTTTTATCATAATACTATGTTCCATCAAAAAGCCGTGGTAGCCTAATGGTTTAACCTATGGCTTTTGAAATAAGTTGTCGTTCGAACCGGACTCGCACTTCTGAGTTTCTCGGAATTTATGTGCGAATTTTAATTTAAAATTTTCCATGAGCTTTTCGGCGAAGCAAAACATCGTGATGAAGCCTGCTCGTCGAAGCGGGTTCACAACACTGAAAATTTGTGATGTCTCCAACCCGCATTTAATTTCTCGTATAAATTGTTTAAATGTTGCTATTGCAGACGTTGAAGTTGGAAGCGGAGAACTCTAGAAAGTACAAGGAGCAGTTGGCGAAACAATACGAAATGCAGGAGGAGATTACACGCAGCAGACTTGAGAAGAAGGAGAAAGAGGTAAGGATATGGCTCACTTACGGTTGGTCCGTGTTTACACACACACACAGCAGATATTCTAGTTGCAAAATTTTAAGCGCACCCCTTGTTAAACGGACTGTGTGAATATGGAACGGATGATAACGATGAGTTAGCCAAGCCAGACAATGTGTACTAACAAACTACACAATCTTAGTTATGGACAAAAGTATGAAGACAATTGTAACCAGAAAACAATGATATACTAATATTATTAACCTCCCACGTAAGTCGTTGTAAGTCAAAATATCATTTTTTTGCTTATTAACTTAAATATCTAATGTGATGTTAGTATCTATTTTATGTTGGTCTGACGTATTTTTACACTCATTTACCGCACATTTCGTCATTTTTAGCTAAAATTCTTGAACTGTTCGCGGTGCAAGTTGACCTTGAGCACTGAAGGCCCGCCCGCTCGTGTAGGCCCATTGGGCGCGCTTCAATTTGCCTCACTTAGCGTGTGCGGACGAGGTTTCTATGCGTTATTATTCTAAGGTTCTATATTTAAAAGAAACTAAAACACTGAAAAGTACCGGCACGCTATGATGGCAGTTTTGACGTTTGCCCGCTCATCGAGTTTCGTATTAATTCAGAACTACGTTAAAGGAGCTAATTGGTGTACATTGTTGTCAGTAGTAACGTGCAGTAAAATTTATGGATATGTGTATAATTTTAAGACACAACTCGGCAATTGTTTTTCGAAGTTCGAAATTTAAAAAAATGAAATTTAATACCATCGTCACTTATAGGGTCGCTGGCCAGCAAAATTTTACCTCCGGCAAACTCGCGTCAAAGCTCAATGCAAAACAAAGCAGTTTCCAATTAATGACATATTAAGTATACATTTTGATTTTAGTTTTATTAAAACTTTTTAATCAGCTACCCCTGGTAATACTAGTTATAAATCTAAAATGTCATAGATACGACTAGCATCTGATTAAATTTTTTTCGATAATTAATTGAGATTAGACCTCGTAATCTGTCAAAACGGCCATCATAGCGGCCGGTACTGTAGTGTTATGTTTACTTTCAAACGTGGAACCTATAATATACATAAAAAAGGATATATTTAAGTTAAAACGAAAACGAATTGTATATTGAATTCAATGGGAGGTACGAGAGTGTGTCTATGAGCCCCATCAGCCCGCCCGCCCCATTTTACCATCGGACATCCAGATGTACCTCGGGATATGAAATATAAAGACTTTATTCTTCAACACTTCAACGATACATAAAAAAACTTAAAATAGTGGCTTAAAATAAATGGCTGTGTTGAAGAATACGTAACAGCCTCAGCAATTTGCTAGTTTTCAGGCTTCCCCTTGTATAATATAATCGGAGAACTACAAGTGAAGTATATTCGTCGCTGTAGACGCCGCAGTATGCAGTGTCTAATTAAATATATAATTAACAAAGCATCTCATTCTACACTATTATATGTATATATAGAAATTCCCGTTAAAATTTTTATACCAAACTACAAATGATAAAGTCACCGACCATGCAGCAATAAGTGTAAAAAGCATTTACTACATACATAGAATAGAACAGGTAGAGAATGAAATTTAGTTCAATATTATTAATTATATATTTTATATCGTCTCTGCTCGGTCGATATTCCCTTCAGGCGTACTAAGCGCTTTCCATAATTTTTTATTACTGTGTTCCCGAACTTATACAACTCGAATATCTTTAAGGTGCGACTGAATAGGCATATTCTGTAGGGCAAGCACAACAGCGCGAGATACTGTAGACATCCCGCGCTTTATGTCACTCTAGTGCATCCTGTCGTGCTAACCCTGCTGGGCGAGTGAGCCCCATTGTTGACACTAGTTTTGCACCAAGCCTAGATTGGTAGAGTGGTTCAAGAGCAACTAAAAAAATATACGTTTCATCAAAAGGATCCAAAAAACAAATATATTTGATTTTTAGATTTAAATAGGAATATTAAAAAGATTGTATATACAAATTGTACGACAAGATTTGTAATTATTACGGTTTCCTACAGTAAACCTGTAAAAACCGTAACCGTATTTAATATATGGTAAACATCTATAGTAAACGTAACTGTTTAACATATTTCCAGATAATGGGTCGCTTGAACCGTGCGGTGTCGGAACAAGTCGAGAAAGAGCGCGTTAAATTCAAGAAAGAGTTGGCTGCCATGGCTGGCAAGCTGCAGGCTATCGAGCAGACACTTAAAAGTTAGTATTTTTATAAAAAAATAAATACTAGTAAGATTACTTTAACTGTTTAGGGCATAGTTTCCCAAAGTGGTCTTTACCTCCGCCTAGTGAGCGCTGAAGAGTCCTAAGGGGGCGGTAGGTGCTTCGGAAGCAATTGGGGAGCGTTGTTAAGCTATTGACAGTCGTGTCGCTTAACACCAGGCGCACGACTTGTTTATCCTGCCACTTTGTATCATTAAAAAAAACCTAATGTTTATATTATTCTTTAAAAAAATATGAATCTTCAAATGTATTTGTACTATAGAATAAATGAATGATATCCAGTTCTTAGGTTTTCGCGATTGTTACACATAGGAAATGAAACTATTTTTCCGGATTTAAATCGCGTATATTTGTTTTTTCAAACAACAAAAAAATAGTTTCATTTCCTATGTATAAGTGAATGACTAAAATTAAATTAAATTCATTTAAATCATTCGTTATAACAGGTACATGGTATAGACATAGGTATATATTATAGATATAGAGAGTAATAATTTTATGGATTTTCTGCAATAAGCTAAATACAAAGTCGATTAAATAATAAAAAGCTGTGTGAAACTAAAAAGAAAAAAAATAGGTTCAATGTCAAAAACAAAAGTCTAATAACATTAATAACTGTCAGCATTTACCAATTTTAAGGAAGTGTCATTTAAATATTCGTACGTGCTGTAGTAACAATTCGACCCCTCCTACGTAAAGTATCGTATGTCGAAATTGCCAAGTTTACAGGGGAGCGTTTTAAAGTTCTGAATTCACTGAAAGAGTGATCACCATAGATCATCTAACCGATATCTAGGATTTTATTATACTCTATGTGAGTAATGAGCTTTGCCGAATAAAACTGAGAAATGCTAAAGTCACGTGTTATGTTCGTTTCAGTGAATTCAGAACTTTAAAACGCTTCCCTGTAAACTTGGCTATTTCGACATACGATACTTTACCTCGGAGGGATCGAATTGTCAATTAATAGTTGTGTTAATACATGCTTTAGATTTCTTATTGCGTCTGGGATTTTATTAAATATTTTATGTGCCATATCGACAACGCTATTTTTGAATAAGGCCGTTTTACAAATCATTCTTTGGACCATGAATTTCCTGGTGCGAAATAAGTGCGCGTGTGAGCTATTTTCTATGGAAATTCGATCGAGTTCGTCTTTACAAACAAAGATGCCTCCACGATGTACAGACACGGGAAGGTCAAGAATCTCAGGTCACGAAAAACAGATCAGCATCTGTCAGTGTACTTAAGGTTGCATATAGCTCTGCAACATAGATAATATGACAATAGAGTTACCCCAGAAACTCACCCTAAAAAAAAATAACTATTGCAATGTAGAGAAAGTGTTTAGCTCCCAAACTAGGAGCCTACAGGAGGTAGCTTGGTCAATCGTGTCAAGTGTGTTACCTCAAAATAACAATAACTAATCTATATTCACACAACAAAAAACACGCAACTTCAGTCCCAACAAAGAACAAAAATAGTCAAGAAAATAATGTGAATTTCAAAGTTTTCTCACAGAAAACAAAGACCTTCAACAGGCACATAAGAAAATTCGTGAGGTCCGTTGGTTCGTTCCGTGGCTTAGTTGGCATAGCGTCTGGTATGGATTGCTGGGAGACGTTAGTTTGAAGTGAAATGTTTCTTCTTAGTGTTCGATCTTTGTTTAATAACAAATTAGTGGAGCAAAAACATAATTGAATATCATGGTGGTGAAAAGATAATTAAAATAATGTGAATTTACAGAACGTGCAGCTGCAGAGCAGGATTCCCGCCGATCGCAATCGGTGTGGGCGGCGGCCGAAGGGCTGCTGGCCGCGACGAGGAGACCAGGCTTGCAGACTAATATTGACAACGAACTTAGGGCGCTCGAGAAAGCTGGTACGTACACTCAGCTGTACGTACGTACGCTCATTTACTAAAACGCGGCTATGTGACAAAATCAATTTTTGAGAAATCATAAAAAATCATAACAGTTTAAGGGTCGTATTCCAGAACTATTCAATGCTCAAGTCAGGATTTGAGCAAACTTGAGTATGATTTCAAGCACTGGAAATACAACCCTAATGGCAAGGACTTGAGTATGATTTCTAATGCTTTGAATCATACTTAAGTCCTGACTTGAGCATTGAGTACAGTTCTAGAATACGACATTTAGGGTCGTATTCTAGAACTCTACTCAATGCTTAAGCCAGGACTTGAGTATGATTCAAAGCACTAGAAATCATACTCAAGGGTCGTATTTCCAGTGCTTGTGTTGCCAGTGCAATCCTGACTTGAGCATTGCATAGAGTTCTAGAATACCCTTAGAGTATTTTGTTTATTCATTTACTTTTAAAAAGACTTTAACTATCATCACAAGTTTAACCTAATGCGATAGTAACAACAATTATGATTACTAACCTCTGACCACTACCATTACAAATGTATTTCCTAATACATTGTATTGTACTACTAATAGTTGTACTAGTGTAACTACATTATGATGTAGTTACACTAGTTTCAAACACGTCAATAATAAACAAACTCATTTAATACCTCCAAATGAAATATGAAATTTCCAGTTAAACGGCAGTATAATGCTGATATTATCGTGATTGTTATCATGGTAATTATCACTTGATAATTTATCACTAACACCTGCTTGAAACCATGTGAAGATGAGTGACAGTAACAAAAACGACGGTACAGTGCTTCTATTTTCTCAATGTCTTTCGGCAAACTTCGTGTTTCGGCTGTCGTTGGTTTTTCTCGGTCTTTGACTTTGATACAGACCAGACGCTTTCAGACGACTTGGGAAGTATACATATAGAGTTGCTATTAATTTTTTTATTTATAGCTATGTTAGATGAAAAAATGCGTTCAGATACGGACTGAATTGATGTGATTAATAACCGGAAAAATATTCATTTTTAGTTACATAAAAGAAGCACACTCTATTTACTTTATATTTTCGTTTCTTTGCTTATTGACATGGAGTAAATGTAATTCTTATTATAGTCTTATAATATTCTTAATCTCAGTACAAATCACTAAAAAAAAACCTCAAAAATGCGTGGAATTTCATCTATTTGCCAAGTTTTATTGAAATCGGTTACTTCGGTTAATCGGAAAGTGCGCAAAACCGGATTCATCCTAAGAGGTAGAATATTTTCTTCAAATTTAAATCGGATCACTACTGAGTATTATCTTTCCATCAAAAAAAGAATTATCAAAATGAAAAATGAATTCGTTAAAAGATTAAATTTGTGTACCCAAGAAAATAGAGCTCGTTTCGAGCAACTAATTAGTTAGATTACCATTTTTTTCGTTTTATTAAAATACGTTAAGATTTCATGGTTTTTTTTTTTGTCATTGAATTAACCAATTTTGTGAGAGAGATTTTATTCTTATAATTAACCTTATCGATCGATGCAATAAAAGTGCAGGGTGCATTTTTTTCAGATTAATGCGGGTTCGATTCCCGCGTTTTGCTAGAAATTTTCGAAAATCTATGAATGCAGTTTTATATCTTTTAAAAAATAAAGGAATGTTTCCTTTAAGTAAAAATTTCTATCTCCAGTATTTAGATTACTTTCCCTCCAGGTGGCATTACACAAATTTCCACCCCGGTATACAAAAAAAAGTAAACAGTGAGAACCTCCTCCTTTTTTGAAATCGGCTAAAAACAGGGGATTAGTTTTACATCTCTATATAGTTCACACGGAAATCAAAACAACAATAACCTACGTTGTTCAAAATTCAAATTATAAATTTTAAATGTAATAATTAATGGGCATGGAAATTAATATTCGTTTAATATTCGGAAATCCGATGATTGCCGAGAGACATAGAAAAAATAGAAGCAAGGTACGTCAATTTGAAACTTATATAATTTCAAACCTTGAACACCTGGTTATTAATTTTGCAGGACAAGGTGATAAAATGGTACAAGCTGTGCTAATGGGCATTCCTAAGGCGACGCGCGAAGAAGGCATCGCCACCGAGGTGGCACTTAAGGATAGGTTTGATGTGGTAAGTTATACCAGCAGTCCAATCACGTAAAACTGTATTATTTTTTTCATCTCAATATTGCTAGTTACTGTACGAGGGGCGGATAAAAAGTTATGTCTTTTGTCTATTTCTAATATAAAAACAATACTGGCCACTATCGTGACGCAATTAGTAGCAGTAGAGCTCCTTGTGAAAGAGATCGTTCTGGGAAGTACTGCCACCTTATCTATTTCTGCCGCCAAGCAGTAATATGAGCATTACTGCATTCCGATTCCGAAGGGTGCTGGTGAAAATACAGGCAAATGGGAATGACAGACGGAGTGGTAAGAGCCACTCAGAGCTTTGCTATGAGGATCAGTCAAATTTTTTGTTTTTAATGTAGCTTTATAGTGCAAAAAGAAATTATTAAGAATTGTGTTTTTAATTGTTTAATCAGTAAAATAATGAAGGAAATACAGCGATTTTATTGCCGTAGTCCCAAAAACACGCACTAGAAACGTTACGATGCCTTTGACGTCATCTGTCGCCATCCGATCCCGCCCCGCCGAGTCAAGTCAGCTCCACAGGCTATCACAGTCAATCCCCTGATTCGTGCACAATATCTTTCGTACTTTTTGTGGTGGTGATACAGTGTCATCAACCACAAATATTGCATTGTGCAAAAATGCAAGAATACGCACGTGTCTATACTTAATAAGCCGTTTTTCAGGGTTCCGAGAGAAGCGAAAATAAGAAAATAATAGTGTAATGTAATGACGAGATTAAGAGACCCCCCACACTAGTGTCTTTGGCGCGTCAGCGTCTTGGCAACGCCAGCGCAGCGTCAATGAGCGACTGCTTGGAGTCCACTCCCGTTCTTTTGATTAAGTCGACTATTACTTATTTCACAGTAATTATTTCGTACGAAGAACGTGACTAGACCCT